CGTCCGAGCCGACATGCACCTCGATATCTACCGACGGATCTTGAAGCACATTCAGCATGCGTTTACCACTTGGGTGAGCTGCCAGAGCTTGTCGGAGTTTTCCTGAAGAATATAAATCGCTTTCTCGTCCGCGAAAGAGTGCGTTGTCACCATAGAAGACGATACCAGTCGAGAATTCCCCAGTCTGAGATCGAATGCAAACGCAGGCAATGGTAAGATGAGAACGAGGTATAAACCGGAGAACCACATCAAGTTACGACTTACTCGAACCATGCGGAGAGCGATGAAGAGTTCGCTCGTGTCTCGACCGGACAGGTGCCTGAATCTCACGACGACAGCAGCACCAGTACTAAGCGTACCGCAACTGCCATGGGTGAGCTGGCTCAAAATTGGTGCACTTTCATGTAGTGCTTTGGCGACATGCTTCACGACCTGTTGGACCCTTGCGCTATTGTGAAGGTGATGAAGCTTTTGAGAAGCAAGGTCCTGGCCAAAGAAGCTGCCGTCTGGCCCAGGACATGTCGAGTATACTGCATCTCCAGTCTCGGCATTCATGAAAAACCCGCGAGCCAGTCGAATAGCTAGAGAACTCTGGGCCATGATAGATGCACCATCGTGACTCCACGACATGATCGAATTTGTGATGCCCCGAGCGGTGGTCTCCATCACGAGATCGATGAAGCCACGCTGGAAATCGATGAACTCGTCCAACGTGCCATCACAACCATCTTGGAATCCACCCAGAGCGCTCGTCAAGGTGTACTCCTCTGCCTTGAGCTTGGCTTGCTCGATACTTTCCGCTGAAAGACGCTCGATGTCACCTCGGTAGCACTGTACAAACTCCTGCAGAATGATCAAGCTCTTCAATCGTCCCAGTTGCAGGGGAGCAACTTCTGTACAGAACTCGCCGTTATCGCTGCTTTCTGTTGGTGGCGCAGTACAAATGACTGCAACAGAGACTTGTGCTTCGACATCCGAAGAGATCAGCGCCGTGAAACCATTGTGCAGCTCTAAATGACCAAACGACTGTGCTTGAGCGAAGTGGATGAGGCTGGCGAGCAGCATGGCGAGCTGTGGGTACTGGAACGGCAGGGTGTCATCCTGATCCCACAAGAGGAGTATGCGTCCTGATGTCGTCACAATCAAGCATGCTACAGCTGAGGAGCTACCGTCGGACATTCTATTGAGCGTGTATTAGTTTCAACAGCAGCATCGCAACGAAACATCCATTGCGATACTTGGCAGTGGTGAGCAAAGCAAGAAACTGCAGCACCAAATACTCGCCCGCTATTTTTGTGACTGTAAATTGCATCGACCGCATTAGAATACATGTGCTGAGGAGTTATCCATCAGCTCTCGATGCTTTGGCGTTGTTTTTGGCTCTTCAGGATTGTTTACACATATCGTTGCTCTGTGGAACTTCAGTACGGGTCGTTGGACTCGCAGAACTTGTGGACGTGTCGTCTAAGGAACCGAATCGGACCGGAGCTATCGAGTCCTTTGGCGTCGAGGCTTTCGTGCGCCGCGCTGGCTGATACTCACCTGCAGCGGGGGCAGGAGCTTGCATCAGCGGAAGGGAAATCATCGGCATGGACTTGAAGAAATCTCGACTAGCCGCGGCGGAAGTCCTCGCCGCCTCTTCTTCAGCTTCAAACACTGCCAGCTTCTCCTGGATGTCTGCCATCTCCTGGTCCAAGGCTGCACTCTCCGCGAGTATGGCTTTCTTCTCCTTCTCATACGCCAGTTTGAGCGAGTTCATGTCCTTTTTCGCCTGAGATTTCAGCTGTCGCTCGAATTGGGCCTGTTCCGTCCGTATCGTATCCACCTTCTTGGCCTGCTCGTTCTGCAGACCGAAGACCTTCTGCACGTGTTTCGTCTTCTTGTGCACCAGCTCGCGCTCTAACTGGACAATCTGAGCCATCAACTCCTTCTGCTGAACCAGCA